TTAACTACTACCTGCCCAAGATATAACGAACATCTTAAAGCAAATTTCTTTTTTTTTTTAGTTCTATTAAAATTAATAAAACATAATTTATAAGGTATTTTATGCCTTACTTTAAGGTAGACATTTAATCTTTTACTCACCTGTACACTACTTTTAAAAATAAAATTAAACGTACAATTAGCATGTGTTAAACATTTGGATAGCGTTAAATCAGAGCCATCACCAAACTCAAAACAAATTTTAAAGAATAAGTGGTTTGAACACCTAACCTACCGTATGTAAAACGGTTGCTCTCCCTGTTAAGCTAATTCCTTTGTATTTTCCTTTGTTAAGCTAATTCCTTTATGAAGTATTTAATAATTTAAACTTATTTAAATAAGATTATAATATAGCTACTATTATTTATTAAAATATAGTAAAATATAATGTATAACCTTTTTTTTTTTAAGAATCTTATTCGTCCTTTTTACAAAAGGATCTTTTATACCTTTTACAGTTTTTTTATATAAAAATATTTGTCTTGTTTTTTATAAAGAAAAAATACTAAAAGCTAAAAATTGATGTTATGCAATAATTCCGAAAAATTGATATTAAATTTATAAAAATTATTTTTCTTCTTTTTTTTTTGTACAAAAGTATTTATCTTTTTATATAAAATTATTTCTCTTCTTTTTTGTGCAAAAGTATTTATCTTTTTTTTATATAAAAGTATTTATCTTCTTTTTATATAAAAGTATATATCTTCTTTTTTTTATAAAAGTATTTATCTTCTTTTTATTTAAAAGTATTTATATAAAATTTTTTATATTATTTTTGTAGATATTACATAGCCAAGTACTAAAAATCTGAACCTCTATAATAATAAACAAATTACTAAAAATTACGCATTGGTGTTATTTTGGTATAAATTACATAGCCAAATCCTAAAAATTCTAATTTTAATGCATCTTAATATGAGAATGCGTGTAATGTTCCTAAATAAACTAAAATAATCTTCAGAGTTATAACCTAATCTACGCTGCATGGAAGCCATTATTTTTATTTATACTATAGTAATATACGCTATGGATAATAATACTGGAACAGTTAAAGATAGTATTCCTACAAGAGATCTAAGCTGAGTATAATATTCAAGAATATTAGCTAAATACCGCGTTGTGCTTCAATAAAAAAAAATTAAAAGAATTATGTAAAACATAAATATCCTAATGTCAATAGCTGAAAAGTAGAAAAGCTAAAAAGTATAAAAGAAAAAATGGTGTTTTAATCATCATCACCCTTATAATCAGCAAATTCTTCTTCAGGGGGTTTGCGTAATCATCTAATAATGATCCATATCTTTAATTACCAGGTCCTGCATTTTCGCGAGATTCATGATAGCTCTCATTACTAGGCTTTAATTTTTGCAAGATTTATCAGAGCTTTGATTGCTAGCCCCACATCTTCTACAGATTCATTAAAACTTTGATTGTTAGCCCCACATCTTCTACAGATTCATTAAAACTTTGATTGCTAGCCCCACATCTTCTACAGATTCATTAAAGCTTTGATTGCTAGCCCCACATCTTATACAGGTTTACTAAAGCTTTGATTACTAGAACTCGCACCACTTTCATATTCTGCATAATTAGTCACCATTATCCCCTCATCACTGGTAGTTTAGGTGAATTATACAATTTATCATCTAAGATTCTTTCAATACGTCTTAAATTACCCGCTTTTTCACTGATTGATTTTCGTATTTTTCGGTTATCTTCCTTAACATCATTATGTAGGTTCTTTATCTACTCAATAAAATTTTTAACCATTTCAGTGAAATTGGGTACACTTTCCATATTTTTTTATTACTCTATCGTAAGACTCGTCAGCAATATCTTGTACATCTGTTAAAGCTGTAGATAAAGCTGTATACCATTTAATATCTTTATCGTCCTGAATATCTGTAATATTACCCGGTAAATCTGAATTATCAGCCACATAATATAAGTAACGATTACCCTTTCTAGCTACCATTTCCTCTAAAATAGCCTTATTTTTGTTGGTTATATAAGTTCAAATCTTATAAATATCAGGAAATCTTTCTGTTAAACTATTTTCAAGATCTTCTAACTTTATAATTATTTATCAGTCTAAATCCTCATTTGACTTGTATTTATCTTCAATCTCTTTGGCAATTATTTTTTTTTCTCTAAACGATTCCTCCTTATTTAGCTTATTTTGTTCTTTCATTCTATTATATTCATCTTTATATAATAATTTTTTGGTACTATGAAATTTTTACCTCTACGGTATAGGAAAACAACACTAACGTTGAAAGCATTTTTCGGACTCTAACGTTAATATTATTAGTATTATATTTAATTTGGTTTAAAAGTGTAGTCATGTGAATAATATAGGATTTTAACTTATATAATTGAAAAAAAACAATTGCTTTACCTTTAAGCTAATTGTTCTTATAAAAAGCTATAAATTATTTATGTATAACCATACAAAATTTATAACAACTTTTTTTACTAAAACTATGGTAATCTAAAAAAAATTTTAAGATTACAACTAATGTTTACAAATAAACTAATATTTATATTTAAAACTAAAGAATAATTAGTGTGAAAAGAAGTAAATACTTTTTATTTTTTTTCATAATAAATAGTCTAATTAAAATCAAGAGATATCTTTTTTGTAACCAATATAAAAAACTACTTCTAAAAACTACAGCTAATAGTAGTATTGTAAAATATATAATTATTGTATTTTTTTATTGAAAAAAAAACGTACTATTTATCTCAAATAGAGAAATTTTTAGTAAGTTAATAATTAATTTTTTTTATTTTACCTTTTTATAGTCTTTTATAAGAAATATATCTAGATAGATTCTATAACTTTTTTCTAAAAAAAAAATTTTTTTAATAATTCGTCCTTTCTAGAAAAGTATTTTTTTTAACCTTTTAGTTTTTTCTTTTTAAGAAAAGCTATCTTTATATTAGTTTTATTACACCTCCTTATAATAAATGCTATATTTAAATCTTTTACAGTTCTGTTACATCTTCTAATAAATCCTTTATTTCTATCTTTTTTACTATTATTTCATAGTTTAAGCTAAATATATGAACTCAAATAGGTATTTATTCCTTATTTTATTCTAGAGATATTTATATAATTTAGTTTTCCATTTACAATAAAAAGAGAATCTTTTATTCTTTAAAAAACGATATTTTTATTTTTTTAGTTATTCATTTTTTAATTTAATCTTTTTATAATTACTAAAAAAACGGGAGAATACTCTGATTCGAACAGAGAACAAACTGTGCCACATACAGTTACTCTACCATTGAGTTATATCCACCTTAAATTTTTTAACTTTTTACTGCTTTAATATTAGAATATTAAATATCTATTATATACTATTAATTTTTAATATACACATATTAGATAAGATTTAATTTAATATGACTAGTAAGACTTGAACTTACACAGCGTTAGCTATCTCATCCTAAGTGAGACCTGTCTACCAATTTCAGCATAGTCATTTATAATTTGTTAACATAAAAAAACTTTTTCATTTATATATAACTTTTATTAACATAGAAAATATTATAATATATAATATATGAAATTTAATTATATATATTACAAAAAAACTTTTCATGTAAGTCTCTATAGTAGATTAATATTATTTGGAATAATATTAAAACCATACATAATACAAGGTACTAATATAACAAAAGCAATAACAATAGGTAATAATACGGTTCAACAGAATGACATTAACTGGTCAAAACGTATTCTAGGAAAAGATGCTCTAACTCAGATAAATATAAAAATCATTATTATAGACTTTATACCTAAAATTGAACCCGAAAATGTTCCATTTAATATCGGATTAGATAAAAGCATAATAGCATCATTTTCAATAGAATCTGCTTGTTCATAGTAAATTGCTTTCATTATTTCCAAAATAATTGTGTGTTCGATTAAATATCCCCCTAAAAATAAAATGTTATTCAAAATACATATGAGTACAATACTACCATATTCAGCTAAAAAGAAAAAGACAAATATAACTGCTGCGTGCTCTGTCATAAAACCACTTACCAGTTCTGATTCAGCTTCTGCTAAATCAAATGGTGCTCTGTTTGTTTCAGCTATAGAACCTATAAAAAAAATTACGAATACCGGGAACAAAGGCAAAATAAATCAAATAGATCTTTGAGCTTCTATATTTACAGTTAAGTTTAAACTACCAGTAAGTAAAACAACTATTAAAATAGCAGTACTTAAAATTAATTCATAACTTATTAATTGAGCTGTACTTCTAAGTGAACCTAAAAAAGCATATTTTGAATTAGCTGACCAACCTGCTAACAATATACCGTATGTAGATAACGAAGACATAGCTAATACGTAAAGTATTCCTAAATTAATATCTGCGATAGTTAAGCCTGTACCATAAGGAATGACAGCATAACCTAATAAAGAAAATATAAGAGTTATAATAGGGCCTAAAAAAAATAATATAATATTAGCCTGTGTAGGTGATACATATTCTTTTAATATTAGTTTTAATGCATCTGCAAATGCCTGTAACAAACCTAAATAACCTACAGAGTTAGGACCTAATCTACGCTGCATGGAAGCCATTGTCTTTCTTTCTGCAACAGTAACATAAGCTATGGATAATAATACTGGAACAGTTAAAGATAGTATTTCTAGAATAGAGATAACGGAAGAATTATATATAATTATAATTAGATAACATTAAATAATACTTAGATTATATAATGCACCTAATGTTAATTAAAATAAATTTACTATAAAACAGCTTATAGTGTATATCGTGATTCCTATACAAGACTTGAACTCATATACAGATATTAGAAGTATCTTGCTCTACCCTTAAGCTAATAGGAATAAATAAAAATAAAAAATGTGAAAATTTTATAGTTTTATTTAATGTTAGAAGATTACTTTACTTAAAAATATAATTTTTAATACATAAAAACCATATTTAAGAAAGATAAAAAGATTTTATCAAATGGACTAGAAAATCTCTTAAATTAAGAAAAATAAAAAGAGATTATCAAATGGACTAGAAAATCTCTTAATTTAATAAAATCCATAATATTTATAATACTAATAAATATACATATAAAGATTATAATGAATAAATAAAGACTTTTATAATAAATATCTTAAACATAAATAGTTGTAAATAAACTTAAAAAAAATAATTAATAGATCTATTAGTTACTTATTTTTTTTCTATGGTTTATTAATAATTATAATGTAAATATATAACATAAGGAATGTAAAAGAATTGAACTTTTAAATTTAAGATCTGCAATCAAAACACAGAACCGTCTGCAACATCCCTTTTTATGTCGGAGGGATTCGAACACTCATAATTAAACACCAAAAATTTACGACTTACCATTAGTCTACGACATATTTTTATTCAGGATGTTTCATTATTCTTCTCCATTAGCTATTAAAATAATATTTATTACACCTAAAAACCGTATATAATTTATAATGTTCCGTTATTTATTTTATAATATAAAACGGCTTTCATTAAAAACTCTAGATATTAAGTTTATATCTCAAAAATAAAAACTAAAAAATATAAACTAAAAACTAAAAAATATAAACTAAAAACTAAAATTTAATGTATTTTAATGTAAATCTAGACCATCTTTAATGTAACTACAAGATAAAACGACAAAAACTTGGGCTTGAATAAATGCTATAGCTAACTCTAAACCTGAAAAAGCTATAATAAATGATAATGGTAATAACCCTAGTATCAAAAATAAGAATCCTGACATCATTATTTTGTATGTAAATCCACTAAGGATGTTTAGAAGCATATGACCACTTAAAATATTTGCAGCTAATCTTAATCCTAATGACACATTTCTAGCCAAATATGAAATAAATTCAATTAAAACTAACAAAGGTAATAGTGCTAAAGGACAACCAGATGGTACAAAGAGTGAAAAGAACTTCAAACCGTGTTTCTGTAAACTAAGAATTGTAGACCCTAGCACTATTGTAAAGCTTAATGCAAATGTTAATATAAAATGACTAGTAGTTGCAAAACCATAAGGAACTAGTCCTATTAAGTTATTTACTAATATAAATATAAATAATGTATACATGAAAGGGAAGTAGATTTGACCTTTTGTCTGGTTTATTTGCCCCGTCACGATACCATGTATAGTAGCATAAATACTTTCTAGTGCCAGTAGTCAAGAATTTACTATAATTTTATTTT